GATTTTTATCTGCACCCATCAGAAAAGCTTGAGCAGATTGTTCTGATATTTATGGCTTTAGCAGAACATCCGCTGGTGTTTTAAAGCTGTTCTGCTTTTTATCCAAGATAAAATATAGATTTGTTATTACTCTTATCTGAATTTTACACTTCCCTATGGTTCATCTCAATCTGGAAAAAGCATTTGCTACTAAACTGCCTAAATCAACCCTGTTTGCATCATAGAAGTTTTCGATCATATTTTTACTAATCCTTCTCCGTACTGTGTCTTCTCAACTTGCATATTACAGCAAACATATTAGGTAGGGGTTTTTTTATTCATATTCATTGGCTTCCTGCAAGGAAAAAACGTTCAATGCACAGTAAGGATGTTAAATTTCAGTTACATGGCTAATTGCGTAGTCCGGGGTGGAGAACCTGTTTTGGGTCGGGGGGGGGGGGGGGGGGGAGAGACACTCCCCACATTTCCCTCACATATCAGAGCCTAGGGAGGTCCAGGCTAGTAGATTTTGTGTGCTCCATCCCCACGGAGGGATGGCAGGGACAAAGGCGGCAAGTTATATGGGCTTGTGGTGTCCATGCTCCCGCAATATTCAGAGGTGGGGGCCTTGCTCCACCAATATTTGGAGCTGGGTCTCTCCCCCGGCCCTACCTGGAGTGGGCCCCAGCCCCCATCTGCCGCCCCCCTCCCGGGGGTGAACGAGACTATCCGAGGGAGCGCATGCCGCTGTACAACAGCTGAGTGGGGAGACGCCAGGTTTGCAAGATATCCGAGGGAGTGGGGACTCTGCTCAGAGCAGAGGCTGGGTTGGGATTTTTTTTCCTCCTCTGGTTTGAATGTGCATCTGTCTCTCCGGCTTATTTTAGCAACCCCCACCTCTTCCCCGCTTGGGAATAACCCCCATGCTCGGGGGCCAGCTGCACTTGTCGTCAGGCCGGCTTTCGTAGTTTTGACATGTAAACACTCAGTGCCAGTCTGGCATGGGAGGCTTTGGGCTCCGTTCAGCCCTGAGCCAGAGCCTCAGCGCTGGCTGGGAGACGCTGCACCCTGCCTGCCTAGCAACCAAAGGGATCCACCGCTGCTTTGCCCCTGCCCTCTGCTTGCTTGGCTGCTCCCACCTCCCTCACCGGGCCATGGCCAGGACCCACCGGGCTGGGTGCCCTGTAGCTGCCCTGGGCGCCCTGTAGCCCGCCAGCCTGGCCAGCGCAGGGAAACAGTTTGTCAATGAATAGGCAGCAGAGATCCCGGGCGTGCTGACCGCGGCCATCGTGGAGGAGCTGGAGTATGAGCTGCTTGGACAGGT